ATAAATAACACCGTCAAATGAAAGGGACAATGCGTCAACCTAATCAGCCCTACCAGCTTTTGTTTTGGATTGTCGGAGAGGCAGTTTGGATTTCGGAAAGGGAGATCAACGGTGGATGCAATTCGGTCAATGGTCGAGAGAGGCGTCCAAACAGTAGCGAAGAGGAGATCGATATTGCACAGTGATAAAGATCGACGCCAGGAATTCGTTCAACAGCGCAGCTGGAAAGCCATTGCCAAAGTGCTGCATAGAATTAGGGTCCCTGACTACCTGTACAGTATTCTGAGGAGTTACTTCCAGAACCTGGTTCTGTTGTACGAGACAGACATGTGACAGAGATCGATTAGGATCACAGCGGGAGTTTCAGAAGGCTCCATCCTTGGTCCAACGCACGCCTACAGTCGGAGAGAAGCCGGTAGAGAACGGAAAGGGGTGAAAGCGGAGTCTTTGACAAAGTGACAATAGGAGTGGAACACGATGGATAACGGTAGATGGACACATCCGTTATTACTAATTCTTTCGACTTACGTGAACAGAAATCAGGGCAGAAGTCAACCAACGCTCTTCAACACTGGGACGCAACACTTCTGGTATCACGGCAGGCCATGATCCCAACACAGTCGAGCTTTTCCAGTCAGCGACCAACAGCCGTCCCGGTCCTGTGTCTGGGACTGGTGAAGGATGCTTCCAAGCCGCTTATCCAGGCAAGTTCAATTTTCATTTAAGTACTTCGATTCTTGATGCGTCAATCACTTCTAGCATTCAGTATTTTTCACCGCTTCCATTATCAACTTCTGATTGCCCACTGGGACGCACCACCGCTGACATTACGGAAGCCCCTGATCCACCCGTCACAGTCGAGCCATTCCAGCCAGCGATCTGCAACCGTCTCAGTCCTGTATGCGGGCCTGATGACGGGGTCTTCCAACCCATCGTTTATGGCAAGTATGATCCCGCTCTTGACAACCCATCCGTTGATCCATCGCTTGGTTCTAGTTCATCATTTCATAATCGATCATCGCTGCATGGCTAGTTGTATATCTTTCCGCATACAACGTATCACGGAAATGGAAGCCATCAGATAATGAGACGCACCGCAGTTGACTTTATGGAAGCTCCTGAACCCCCCACCACCTGTACGACACAGCAATCGCCTCGCCAAGTTCAAGCGGCAGTCCGTAGAAACGATAAGCAAGTATCATCTGATGTCTTGCTGTATTATCGAAACCTGGGTGGAATCAACAGCTCCCTGGCAGAGTACCAGCTTGCATGCAGTGACGCCTTCTTCTTCTTCTTCTTCTTATTTCCTTTATTTAACGTCGGTCTCTGTTCCGCAATCTAGTGCCAATCACCGACGGACATCGATTGCCATCCATTGACGGCAATCGAATGTGCAGGAAGGCAGCTTCCACACCTTCGTAGGATATTGCACCCATTTAAACACACATGGGCCGGGACCAACGGCTTTACTTCCCTTCCGAAGGAAGACGTGACCAGAGATTTTTATGCCTCAGAAAAATCCCACCGACCTCGGCTAGGATTGAACCCAGACCCATCGGGGTGTTAGAAAGCAGTCACGCTTACCTCTACACCACCGGCGCCGGCGCAGTGACGTCTGCTACGATATCTACGCTTTTACCGAAACTTGGCTCAATGGCAATACATTATCATGTCAGCTGTTCGACCGTACATACAACGTTTTCCGCCAAGACCGGTCGCCATCCAATAGCAGTAAAAGCACTGGGGGTGGTGTTCTTTTAGCCGTTCGTTCCTGCTACAACTCACGGTTACTATTACCTCCTGAAAATTTGTCCGTTGAGCAATTGTGGGTATCAATTACTTCTCGCGACTCTACCCTCTACATTTGCGTGATGTACATTCCTCCAGATCGTGTAAACTATGGTACCCTCATCGAAAAGCACCTGCTGTCACTCGATTTGATTGTTTCGCACATGGGCGCCAATGACAACTTAATCATCCTGGGAGATTTCAACCTACGCAATATAATCATATGACAACGGATACATTTAAAATTATGTATCTTCATTGACCGATCAGATGACATAGTTTTATGTAAATAAAACGGCAAAAAAGGTTATCTTCTATTCAATTCCACTTAATTCATTTTGGTATCCATGACAGATACGTATTTCGATTACAATGTGCAGTCTTCATCAGAGTCATTCCCACTAAAGAACTTATCAAAACCTAACCCCCTTAAGTACTCATCCCCTAGGTAAAAATGTCAAGATCACAGGTATAAAAATGAAACTGAAATGAGTGTATTGAAATGAGAATTCGCTGAACTTCAAGTTACACGACAAGCAAACCAATCCAATTCACTTCCAAGACAATCTTCAAGCATTCAAGCATTGGCATAGATAAAAAACTGACGCCCAAGGTTAGTATTGGAAATGTTGCCATGCTCGATGGATTCTGCAGTATGACTGACAAAGAAGCGATCGAGCTGGATTTGGATCTTAAATAAGAAATTATTGCTCATCTTGACGCACTGGATAAGCATTTTGAGCGGTATTTCCCTGAGCTGACGCAAGAAGATGCTGCTTTAGTCCGCAATCCGTTTTCTTCCTCATAGGATGTGGCTAGTGTTCCTGACAAAATACAGGATGAATGTTTGGGTATGAGAAATGATTCCTCATCTCGTGATTTCATACGTGAAAAAGATTTAAGCCAGTTATGATGTGCCATGTACGATTCGTATCCCAAAGTCGCCTTGCAGGCTCGTACCTCTGTGAGAGAGTATTTTTAAATCTTCTCCAAATTAATACCAACACAGGAATCAGATTGAATGTTGAGGACGATGTGAGATTGGCATTGTCACAAACGCAGCCCCGTATTATGAAACTAGTATCTCAAATGCTGGTGCAACAATCGCCCTGAATGAGTTGTTGCCTGTTGTTAACATAGTAGGGGAATCGGCTCTAATGTTGGCTTATGGATTTAAGATTGGGCCCATCGCTAAAAATCTGCTATTTATCAATTTTATCTAGATGAACGCGTCATTGCGACGGTACTAATGGATATTTTTGGTCGCCATTGAAAATTTAGTCGATTGCTGAATTTATGTATGGACCCAAATTAGGGGGATTTAGGCCGACATTACATACATTTCCCTTATTTTGAAATAATTCGAATAGCTAACAGATCAAATTCTCAGTGAGCCATGATATTTTCCAGAAGGCCACGGAACACCCTATTGTTCACAAAAGGGGTCGCGGAGCTCAGAAAGCAGGGAATCACTGTGCACTGACAACAGAATTTGTTATAACAAATTAAATTGTATTTGATTTCAAATTGAATCGTTTCCAAGTAAAAAGTAAAAGCTGTATATGGTCTCAATTTTTGTAGGTACCGTAAACCGGGGTAACATTGATAGTTTTTTAACGTATATTCTAAATATTTTTTACAGCAATGAATGTTTTCAAATTTTATATTTTTAAAACAAGTACTGAGGATCCAAGAGTGAAGTCGTTACTAATATGTTTAACTAAAATTAAAGCATTTACACTATTTTTTTAGTTTTGTGACCGAACTTCAGTTTTTGAATTGGGATTACTTTGATAATGCTCGATGAATGTAGAAAAAAATGGGTGAAACTCAAACAATTTAGTTCTTTAAATATGAAACTTTGAATAAGTACACAGTTCGAAAAAGTAGTGTAAATTTCTGTTCAGTATGATGCACATAAATGGAGCGTCACATATCATATAAGTTTACATTATATATCATGTAAAGTTCTGAGACATATCATGCAATGTAGCAAATATTGTATACAAAAGCCCATTGTTGTAAACAACATTGTTTACAAGTTGCTCGGTTGCGTGAAATTAAATACAAGTTTACGTGGATGAATATTTACATCATTATTAAAATTCAGAATTTTTATCTGTGTATATAATCAGAAAACATCATAAGCAATAAGAATACAACATAGAATTTGTTATGGCTATATCGGAAAAACAATTCATAAGTGATGGTTTGAGTGCTTTTTCAAACAGGCGAAAAACACGAAAATTGTTTTTTAATATGTTTGTAAAATATGTAACACATATTATATAAAAACTATAAACGATATCAACAGAAATGCCCTAAGCTACAATATGACACCAATGTTTCTAATTTGGACAAAGCGCAGCGAGTAAATTTAATCTTTATATTATACTATCAAAGTTACCCGCATTATCAAAGATACCCCGTTTTACGGTACCATTATTGTACATTATAAACGATTAGTTTACCGATATGTATGTGCATTTGTGATATGCTTTTGAAAACCTTTAAACTAACAATCTCAGTTAAACATTTGCAGTGTTTTTGTCAAATAGTGGCACTTACTTGAATCGGTCACAATATACGTCAATAATCGAAATGACGTTTGTATTGCACAACTTTTGTTAATTAAAAAAATATATGGCTGTTCATCCTCCCATAAGTAGCCCAGCCCCTAATGCAATGGAAGAGTAGCATACCATTTAAAACGACCCATTAGTAAACGATGATAACATCGTTAAGCACCTGATTGAAACATTTTTTTCCAAGCTGCTAGTCAATCTAGCAGCATCCACTGCGTTAATAGACAATTAATTCGAATATCTTTACCTATAAGATTGAATAATTAATAGTAAGTATCAAACGAACCGCGATCACCAGTACTTTCGAATGACTTGTCATCTCATTAATTTATAATTCAATGACATATTAATTAATTCTTAGACGATCAATCCGATTTACTAACACGACTTATGCACTCTCCACATTCCATAGAATCTTTCCATGACATTGATCACGATTTCACTACTCATTTTACTCACATAGCTACTGAACTAAACAAAAAGCATAATTGATCTACCCCGACCCGACGTCCGCCAAATTCGTTCAAGGCGACATTCACTTTAGGACAATTCCTGGTTTTTTGCTTCAACTAATCCAAACCATTGTCCACCTGTACTATTGAATAATTCGGTAGCATCGATATTTACACTATGCACTCCTCCAACCTAGGCTGACTGCGGCCTTGACAAAGATGATGTCCTACAGAGCCGTTGATCCGTATCACCATCCAGCAACACGCGAGCTAATCGTAGATGCAAACAACTTTCGGATATTGAAAATTCACGCGCTCACCGACCACTAAGTTTAGTTTATCGCGATCTTGCTAGCACTCCGGTGCATTCAATACTGAGCAGAACGTGCACGCTCGGTGGCAGTTGTTGTGGGCCCCACGCTGGTTTTTTTCCTTCTTCACAGCAGCAAATCGTGATTTGTTGAGCAAATCCCGAAGCATGCGACGGACCGTGTGTTGGTTTATGCTGCACATATGGAGGTGAATGTGTTTGTCTATGTACATTGGATTTGGTTGCGTCCATAATCAGCATCAATTGCCGGTCGGGTTGATCGGAGGTAGTTTGTTTTGCTTGACTGTTTGGCTATTTGCCGATTCGGTGGCATAAACCTGCAAACATGGCATGGCATAGTGTATCTAGATGGTGATTAGGTGCTTGCGTTAGGTAAAACACTGCAAGTGGTGTCAACGTCTTGGGTCAGAAGCAGGTTTATTCTTTTCCAATCAAGATCAAGATTAATTGTTGGTTATTGAAAATTCATACTTTTTTTTTCGATTGATGTGTAATCATTGTAGCTAATGCTTTACATTTGATGGCATTGGCAGTCATCAAATATTATAAGTTAACAATATGGTCCACTTTCCGAATTCTCCGATGAAAAGACACAACAGTAATACCCTCTCTCGGTGAGAATAGGGGCCAAAACCATTCTGGGCGTTATTATTTAAGCGTGTAATCAATTTACAAGTCTAGTAAAATAAAAAGGAGTGGCAGACAGTATTAGCTTTCTCATGCATTCTTATACGCCTACCCTGACGTCATGACATTATACTACGTTCAGACTATAATTGATGTCACTTAATATAATTTGATATCAAGAAAGCCTATATTACGTGATATTAGATTTAGCTGAAAGGCGAACCAAACAAATAAATGAAAGGCAGAGTATATCTGTTACGTTTCTTTAAATACCAGATTGGCACTTGATAAGAAGCAAACTGTCAATACGATATGAATCGTTAATCCAAATTTGGGTAATCGATTTTGATAGATTTGAGTTCACCAGAACGTTCTCGAGCGAAAAATTCAAGCAAACCATACGTAAACAATACACTTAAACGTCGATTGTTCACGAATTACGGTCAATGCCGGTTTGTCGGCATGAGTCTATTTCACGAGAAATCAACTTTTAATGTCATTGTTTAAAGTTAAAGGTCCTTTCCACATGTTGTCACTAGCTTCCTCCGTCATACACGGTTAGAAAAAAGTACCCAAAACTAAGTTATTTTCACTCATCTCGGCACTATAGTGCAGGAACCCAAAAGTAGGTAAAGCGGGTCAAAGTAATTTTCATTTACTTGTGTGCAGTTCGTATGGAATTTTCCACTGGCTTTTTAACCAAAAGTAAGTTAGTTGTACCCAACAGTAGGTAAATATGATTATACTCAACGTTGGGTTCCCACACTTTACTTACTTACCCACAACATTAGAAGGAGAAAAGGAGACAAACTAGTCAAAAGTAGGTAAAAGTGAACTGGCAGTTGGGTACTTTTTTCTTACCGTGTACGTTAAAACTAAAACGATAACTTTGAGTGCAAAGAACAAATCTCGATGAACATTTAAAATGGTCCTATCTGCTTTGATCGATTCTCTTCATCGACTTTCTCTTTTCATAACCACTGCTATGAGAACAGATTTCGCGCTAATTCTACCACATAGTTTGATAAAGGAGGTTCTTATCTAGCGTCCAAAACCTTCAAATACAACAGGGAAAGGTTTTGCAGCTGAGTTATTGACGAAAGAGAATGTCGATGAAGAGAATCGATCAATGCAGATAGGACCTTTTGAAATGTTTATCTAGAAATGAGACTGCTCTTGCTAATCCGGAAGAAAGAAATACTGGAAGGGCCAAGGGGCACGCAATATAAAGAACTGGTGCGTTGAAGTTAAAATGCAATCAAAAGTACTTAAAGTAATTAATGCGTTTTAAACTAGTACTGACGGTAATGAAAATTATCTATCGGTGATTAATGTAATTAAAAGTATTGAAAAGGTAGTTAATGTATTTTAATTACGAAGTTTCAACTGTAATTAATGGAGTTAAAAAGTAGTTAATATTCTACATTGTGTAATTAATGTAATTAAAGCAGTAGTCAATGGAATTAATTTAATTACAGCGGTTGCCTGCGTTGGAGTTAAAGGTTATAGCGTGCCCCTAGGGAAGGGCCTTCTTTTGAACTGAAACATCTGTAACCAACTGTTACAAGTTGTAAAGATTTTTTTAAATTTGCGCTTTAATTTTGTGTACAGTCACGTCTCTAGAGTTAAGTGGTGTTGGATTCCAATTAGGGTTAGTAGTAGGGTTAGTAAATATTACTAAAAATGTACATACTGTCAATCAAACATGTTATTAGGTTAGTAGAAAATTTGAATTATATACAAAAACAAGTGGGTTGAAACGCATGCAAGTGGGTGCCACAACTAAACAATAACGGACGTATAGGAGAGTAAACCAGCAGGTGAAGTGGGCCATAATCCAAAGGTGGTGATAACCAACGCCACCTCCCCCCCCCCCCCCCAAAAGTTAAAGGCGTTCGTGTGCACAAGAACCAAATTCTAAAGTGTCCTTAAAATTAATAAGAAAGTGATACCCAGCTAAAAAAGGAGAGGAATACGAGTTCTTCAAGACCTTTTGTATTATCCTGATAATCCGACGGAAGTCGCCATTTTGTCTGGTCAGTGGCTCGACCATGTGCACACGATCCAGCGTAGTAGACCTTGGTTTGCTACGTCTAACCGCAAAGGACCAATTCCAACATCTGGACCAGCCGCCCGTTAAGGAGGTTGTCAAGTTCGGGGTCGAAACACTTCGGTATCGTCCTGAGCCGTGGCAAGTTCCGTCAACGAGGGAGGACGCCTAAAAGGCTTACACAGCCACACACGATCGACAAAAACCGCCAAACCATCGTGTGGTTAAACGATCATTCGCCACTATTTTGGGAACCACCAGCCACTATTTGTCGTCAGCAACAGCAGCAGCGAGCACTCGGAGGGCGTCGCCCAAGGCGGGTTATAGAGGTGACACAGTAGGAAGAAGTGTTAGTTTGTTTACTAAAATGAACTATGCCCATTTTGTTATGGCAAGTTTTGCTATAAGAAATGCTCCTCGTGTTTATTACCGAAATTCACATCCAAGGTTGATTAATTGCGTAGGAAATCAGTTTGGCACGGCATTTGTGACCAGCATACACCTTCCGGTCGTATGAAACAGGTCAAAATCCATCCAAATCCGCCCATAAAATTGTTTTGTTTTGAATTTCTGTATGGCAAAATAGTGAACTTTTCGTGAACATTAACGGCAAAGAACTCACCAACACTGGGAGACCGTGAGTTCCTGCCCACCTGTCATTTTCTATCTCGGGCGTCGCAAGATCGTCAGTATAAGCAGTAAGGAGCAGTGGTACGTACCGAAGAAAATAGATAATTTTACTCACATCCACAGACAGAAAAAACTGCATTTAATTAACTCAATCCCACCAATATACCAATAAGATAAATAAAAACCTTTGTTTATCGTCCAATTAATTCTTTCAATCTATAATATCAATATCTCTAGTCAGGTGACCGTACGTTGCATATCTTGTTCGTGAAGCTCCTCGTGATTACCAAGTAGTAAGCCGACCCTGAGACCTAGCTCGAAGTGTCTCTAGCTACTGAACTTGCTTGGGACAGTTACACGGTCGGGTCGTTGCATTTAAAAAAAAAGAAAAACAAATCAGTAACATAAAACGATACAGATAGTTTCGATAAGTGAAGGGTCTAGTATAATAGCGAATTCGTTTATTATCGGGGTTGGAATTAGTTCCAACCCAGTGCGAAACCGAACTTTTTATCAGTGCGAACCTCAACCTGAGCTGGGTTTTAAAAACAAACAAGCAAACTGACGTTTGTCAGAAAACAAGCAGAACCAATCTCATCAGCGCCTACCTTGATTGCATTAGCAGTTTGTTTTGAATATGCTCCTACACAGCAAAAAATAATAATTTTAATATCAAGTGGAAGCACTTCAATCGTGTCGAAAATATGTACAGTCAGGAATCCTTATTGCCGGGGTAACGGGGGCGTGAATAAGGAACCGCGAATAAGGAACCGCGAATAAGGAACCGCGAATAAGGAACCGCGAATAAGGATACCCACAGCTTATGGGATTTTCACTAATGGGGGCTGTAGTGGATTATCTCATTTTTGGCCCTATCGCTGAAAATCTGCTATTTATCAATGGTATCTAGATGAACGCGTCATTGGGATGGTACTAATAGATATTTTTGGTCGCTGGGCCCAAATTGGGGGCACTTAGGCCGACATTACAGCCATTTCCCATACATTCGTTTTATTAGCTGTGTTTTGCAGTTACAAGTTGAAAGTTGATTAATATGTGCATAAAAGTGACATTAGCGTTTATTGGCTGCTGTTATTCAGTGCACCTGACAAACTGAATAATGGTTGTGAAAAAGTTAAGTAAACGGTTTCCAAGAATATTTGGCCAGTGGCGCCATTGGTGTAGTATTAAGCGTGATTGCCTCTCACCCAAAAGACCTGGGTTCAATCCCAGTCGGTGCGGCCGGGATTTTTTGAGGCATAAAATCTCTGATCACTCCTTCCTTCGAAAGGGAAGTAAGCCGTATGCAGTTGATGGGTCGATAGGTAGGGTCTGGACACGGGAGGTAGTCCTGGCGGCGGTAGCATTGGTACTCAGTACGAAAAACCAACACGACCGTAGATTTGACGTAGGATTACGAAAGGTAGTTTTGATGTCACAGCAACTTTTAAGTAAAATTAATATTAAATCGATTTCTTAACTCGTTATCAGTGACAAAGTTCGACAGGTTGAAATTCGGAAGCAGTTTGAAAGTTCTGTTTTTGAAGTGCTCTGTCGGTATCCAATCCTG